GTATATGCATATGTGAATGAGAGTGAATTACATGGGTGTCTTAATATGCATATGTATGAGTGTTTGGATGTGTATAGGTGTATATAAGTTTTTAATGTGTGTTTGTGTGCTGATAAAGAGTGCAAACATATGAATATATTAAATTTGTGTATACACACGTAAGAATATGTGGATAAGTGATGTGTATGTATGAGTGTATGTAATACAGTGTATATATCGGTAAATAATTAAAGCTGTTGTATGAGTATGGATGTAAATTTGTAAGTTTTTAATGGTAGAGATGATTATATGCAAAATATATGTAGGGATAGTTAAGATATATATTGTTATGTGTGTATTTATATGTAATATAAAGTGTGTTACATACATATAATACAATGGATACGCGAACAAGTCTGTAAGTATAGAAATATGAGAATATGTATGTTTGTGATTAGTGTTTGAATTTCTAAAGTTGAGATATGAAATAGAGATAATTCTTGAAGAGGAAAAAACTCAACATGTATCTTAACAGGTATCATGTGAGAGAGTCTACGAACTTGATATATAGGGTGAACCCTACTGTGAATATGCCCTCAGTCATACGGGGTTGGAAAGTCTTATATCGGACGGAGTTGAGAATTGGTCTAATTATGCTCATATCGAACGAGGTATTAAGACGATTTATAATTGCAATGCTCATTATCAGATGAGGTATTGAGATGATTTATAATTATGGCTCTCATTAATGGACGAGGTATGGGTACAATCAGTGAATTGTAAAAGAAATATTTTATACATCCATGTGTAGAGGGGATCCCATAGCGATACCAGTGATGGAAATGACAATATGTGATAGAAATAAAAAATAGTAAGTAATCATAATTCTGATTATATCTTAGTTTATTGTGTTTAGAAGATTGCTAATAAGAGAAAGAAATAATAATGTTTTCAATAAAAAGAAAGAGGATAATGGTTATGACTATTGTTCGATTTTGAATTTTATTCGGTAAAATTTGCCTTTGTTTTATTAAACTTGTATAAATGTGCATTTGCATATCTCTATTTTGAACACTACTTTATTCTTACCGAGTCCGTGAAGCTCAGTCTAATTCATACCCCCCAGTACGAATTAGTTCAGGTCAAGAGTGAGTTCAAGATCAAAGGAAGACTTCGAAAAATCTTTTAGCTACTTTAGACGTTTATTGTAAAGTAGATCTAAATATATTATTGTAATGTAATTTCGAAAGATTGTTATGAGGCTCATGAATTATGACTTCGTATAAGGGATGTATTATTAATTTTTAGAGATTAGCATGTTGCGCAAAATTTATTAAGTTTATATGTGAGATAACGCTCATTTCTATCCAGAGAAAGTGGTTCGTTACAGTTGATGGGAAGTCATATGTCATATATAACATTAATTACATTTTCGATTTATATTTCAAGGATCTATTAAAAAATAGGTTAGTTAGAGGGAAAGAGGTTGAAGAGATTAAAGGAGGTTGAATGGAGGATGGGTTCACTGGTGAATTTGGAGTAGGTTATTTGGGTTTTGAGAATCGAATTGTTGTGCTCCAGTGCGTGTTCTTTAGTGAAGAAAAAAATTATTAGAATTAAAGTTAACCAATTGAAATTAGTTTAATAATATTATTGTTTTAAAAATGCTGACGTGGCATCCACACATGTGTTGAAGTGAACAATACATTATCAAATTAAAAAATGATATACACATGACTTGACATGTCACATACTACGTGAGCATGTTCAAATAACATTAGAGAAACTTAACAAAGAGGATGAATTTTCTCCCATTTTTTAAAGTTCAAAGCAAACTTTGTAAAAAAAATAATTTAGAAGAATTTTGAGAATTTTTACATAGTTAAGAGGGAATTATTATATTTTAGTCTTTATGTGATATTTTAGTGTTTTTTTACTAGATTTTTTAGTTTTGTTTTTGGTACCAACTAGCAAAAAATTTTGTCAAATATTAAAGAACAAATTACTAAATTTCTCCCAAATTTTGATACTTGTTACAAAACATTTGGTCCTTAATATTTTTTGTTAAATTTTGGTTCATAGTATTTTTCATTTGTTTTAAATGTTTCATTTTTATTTTCTAATAAAAAAAATTAAAATAGTTAGACAATTTTTTTATATTTTAAAAAATATGTTGGGAATTTAATTTTGTTGTAATTATCAAGAGTATGAATTTGGTAATCAAACAAAAACTCGAAATTTAACTGATAAAAAGAACACAAATTTTATAATACTCACAAGAAAATTTCACAACTAAATCTGTTATGCATCGACTTGTTGATACTAATAGATCTCACTAAATTTTTTTCACCTCATATCCCGATGTGTTTTTTTCCTTATGTCTAGACTCTATAAATAAGCAACAAAGTTGCTCTTTACCTTCTCCCTCTTTATTGTTGATTAATTTAATTTTTCAACAAAATTAAATAAAGTTTAGTTTTCTTAGTTTTCCAACATCTTTCCTTAAACTTGATTTAATTATTTTTAATATTTTATTTAACTTGATAAATATATATGTTTTAAGTGGTTTGTGAAAATATATGTGATTTTATTTTTATATACATAATACTCGACCATGATCTCTTTATCTTTCATCAAGTCAAGAATGTAGTGATGTTTGATGTCGATGTGTTTGTTATGACCATGGAATACTAGGTTCTTTGTGAAGGGGATAATAAATTTATTATCACGATAAATTGTCATTGGACTATCTTGTTAATATTCTAATTCATTAAGTATCATTCATAGCTAAACACTTTGGGTAGTGCAACTTGCAACTGCTATATTCTTTGCTTATGTTGTCGAAAGCACTACTAGTTGTTTTTTTTAGATGACCAATAAAATGCACTTGAACTAAGATTAAACACATAACTTGAAATACTTTTCCTTTCTTTAATGTCACTTGTCCAATATTGTCTGTATAACCAACTAATCCTATCTTGTTAGTGGTTGAATAGAAAGTTCCATCATCAAATGTTCATTTGATATATCTTTTTTTTTTTTGTGCAGCTTGCCAATGAGATTGTCATAATAATTCCATAAATCTGCTCACAATACTAACTTCATAAACAATGTTAGATCTAGTTGTTATTAAGTATCTCAAGCTTCCAATAAGTCTCCTTAAGTTTGTTGCATTAACCAAGTCATCGTTACCGTTTTTCACAAGCTTTAACATTTCTTCCACTTGTGTTAATATTGGTTTGTAGGCTTTCATCTTAATTTTTTCAAGATATCTCTTGCATATTATCAAATATTGGCAATTTAAGTTTGTTGTAATTATTAAGATAACGAATTTGATAATCAAATAAATACTCAAAATTTTATTAATAGAAAGAACAAAAATTTTATAAGGTAAATTTTACAACACTAATAAGACAATTTCACACCAAAACCTGTTATGTATTAGTTTGTTGATACTAACAAACCTTATTCAATTTTTTCACATCACACCCTAATATTGTGTAAACTCTAGATATAAGCTCCAAAGTTACCTACTTACCTTCTCCCTCTTTATTGTTGATTAGTTTAATTTTCCAACAAAGTCAAATTAAGTTTAGTTTTTCAACATAATAGCTTAAAAATGACATGAACTAATTAATTAAATTAGTAAATTAATAACAACTTTTTATTAATATTGGTCTATTAATTTATTGTCAAATTTATTAATTAAATTAATTAATCAAATCAATTCTTTTAAATAATTTGTTAAAGCATCATAATATGACTTAATTATGTTAACTTGTTCTATTAAAAAATGAAAGAAAATTATATGTTTGAAACAAATAGAAAATGTTAGAGATAAATTTGTAACAAAAAAAAAATTAAATAGCAAATTGTAATAAGTACTAAACTTTGAAAACTAATTTGGTAATTTGCTCAATATTAAAAAATATAAATGCTTTTAGATAAAATTTAAAATTTAAATTTTATTTTTTAATAAACATTATATCAAAATATAAAAATAGATATTTCTAATATATGATTTACGTTGTAGGAGGATAATATTATATTAATTATTATATTTACTAATACTACATTATTATGTCAATATATATTATTAATTTTATTAGTAACAAAGTTACTATTAGTTTTATAATTCAATTTATTTAAAATAATATTACAGAAAATATTTTTAGACAAATTTTATCAAAATTATTTTTAGTAAAAATTTACTAAATGGAGGAGGTAAAGTTGTACATTCTCTTTTGCTCCTCCCATAATAATTGCTAATGTATTTTTAACATTTTCCAATGCCGAAGATTTTAATATAAAAAGAACTAGAGGACATGTGGCTTAAAGTTTGTGGGTTGTATAATTTCTCCAAACGACGTAGTTTTGGATCCTGGTTATTTGGAGTGAGGGCCACGTAAAATAGAAAGCCAAATATTGAAAAAAGAAATATTAAGTAAATGAAAGTATTCCGAAAGCCATCTATACATCGAACTCTATTTCCTAATAAATTCCCCGATCGGTTCATTAACATCAAAACCCTGTAGTTACATAGAGGTTCTGTTCGTTCGCCTTTTCTAATCGTCTTCTCCGATTTTCGCCTGTAAACCCTAGATCGCCTATAATGGATGATAGCTGTGCGGTGTGTGCCGATAACCTCGAATGGGTGGCATACGGAGCATGCGGTCATCGGGAAGTGTGCTCGACGTGCGTGGCTCGACTCCGTTTCATCTGTGGCGATCGCCGATGCTGCATCTGCAAGATGGAATCCTCCGTCGTATTTGTTACCAAGGTTAGTTTTCTTTAATATCTCCCTTCTTTTTCCTAATATCAATTTCACTATAAGTCCGATCCGTCGTTTCTAAAATTTCCCCTCTAATCCACTTTATGTTTAATACTCTTTTTAAGTTTGCAATCGTAACTATACTGTTTTCAGTTTATTGTTCGAAAAGCAAATGCTAATAGGAGTGGTGGGCATTCAGATATTCATGTGCTTTGTTCAAATTATGTTGAATACAATCGTAATTTTAGAATCACGACATGATAATCGATGCAGTTGGAACTTAACTTTCCTAGTTATATCTCTTGGTTTATTTCCGCGGAATTTCTTTCAAAACCATACTTGTTAAACACTAAACTTTGTTTGATGAATTTTTGGTGGATGCACGACTTAGAAGAACAAGAATTCCTTCCCATTTTCCTTATTTTCTCTCTTTGCTGTGTTTTTTTTGGGTGTGGGGAGGGTGGGTAGGGGGGCGAAGGGGAAGTTGGGGATGGAGATGGCGAAATTTTTTATCTTCTTTGAGAGAGAACTTTATGGTGGAACAAACTATATTCTTCCTCAAAGTCCAAAATTTTCTGTCCAGACTGGGAAGAATAAATGGAACTGAAATATTTCGTTGCATGGAGTAATCACTAAAAGTCCTTTTTGGTTTAATGTTGAATCCCTCGTTCGTCACCATCCTCTTTTCCTGCATTCTACTGCCTGTATGCAGTTTGTCACCATTTTATTTTTCATTGTCACATAGACTGAATATACATGTTAGTTGGGGCTTTGACTTGTATTCGAGTTTCAGTAATGGAAATTAGCTAAGAATGAGGGAGTAACTAGAGAAAGGTCTTCCGTATTTGTTGCATATGTTGTTAAGAGACTTCGAATAAGAATCATTTCCTTTTGCAAACTTCTTTTCAACATGTCTTGGACCAGTAATTAACTCTGGTAGAACCGCACAAAAACTGTGTACATCATTTTTTTCCAGTATATGCCAGCTCATGAATCATGAACTTTAAGAGTATATCAATCTTTTTTTGCTCCTTTTTTCTTAATATTGCTTGAATTCTTTTAACATGTGGGTGATAACTTTGTGCAATTATATTTTTGTTTTGCATGAATTTATAAATATCTTATGAAATTTAGTTAACATGTAATAGAAGTAGATGTTATGTTTAATATTTAGAGTATTTTGAAGTAGCATGTAATTTTAAAGTGTTAAGTAAGCTTCCATTATTATTTAGTTATAATGAAAAAGGGTGTATTGGCTTTAGACAATAATTCCATTCCATTCTTTTTCACTTACAATCCAAACCGGGTAATACTTCAAGTACTATCTTATCCAAATAAGGGGAGATATCTTTGTTCTTTTTCGTTCTGTTTCTTAATCCCTTATCCCCTCTCCCAAACAGAACCTTCAAAAAATTTGTTGTTGATCCATTGTTCTTGCCTTCTTGG